GCTTCGTGTAGTCTGGCAGAAGTTTACCGACGTTTCAGAGGTGCTTGCTGCCTCCATAATCAGGGCGATACACGGCGTAACAACCCTGAAGACAGCCATGTTCGGAGTCACCGACGTGAAAAACCTCAAATCCTTAAAAATGGAAGCATTTTTTAACATAGATTCAGTTGATTTCTTTGTTTGAAATTAAATAAAGATAGAAAGAAGGAAAGTTATGTTCTTTGTGTCATTTTTCAGTTATCACGTCAGGGTAATTCTTTTCGAATACTTTTCTGTTCGTGTGGTGGAGACTTGTCACACTTATTACCGAGTACTACAGCCCGACTCTGATAATTGTTCTTAAGCTTTGTGTGACATTTCTTTAAACATTTAAGTAATGCCATTTAGGTCTTAAATTCTTTTTGGTTAACTGAATAAGTCTTAAAGAACTTGTTCCAACAAACTTCGTGGATTTGAACCAATATTTGTACTACGAAACAATCCAAAAAAACAACGTTGGTAGACATTTTTGCTAGTGTCGATTCGTATCGATTTTGTGTGCGTCGGGGCTTAACCCCACTAATCGATACATCGCCCTGATCAGTGAAAGTACTTGAAGAAGCTTCAAATTATCGTTTGAATGTGTAAAATAGACGAGCTTTAAGAGATGAAGCATACGAAAGTACGTCTCATTGCGTTTTTACGATTCCCAAAGTAATGCCATAATTGAAAAGTTTTGAAGTAATTCGGAGAGAGGGGAAGATGTTTGAATGTAATTGATTGGACGGACGGACGGACGGACGAAGCACTTCACAGACCAGTGTCGTGTGCAAAACTCCTAAAAGTTCATTAACTATTTGACAGAGGCTGCAAGCCCTCAGCAACAAATTCAAACTTTCACAGTTATGTCTGTCTGTCTGTCTGTCTCTCTGAGCTTCTAGAACTGCAATGTAGCGAACAGCTAGACGTAGGTATAAATAGTTTTAATCGGATTACTTATTCATACGAAGTCACATGGACTGACAGAATTTCAGAAAACACTCACGAATCTCGAGGGTGGGAGATATCTGTAAAAATATGATGTGTTGAATTTTGTGAACAACATTTAAACAGTAACATTGCTAACGAAATTGAATTAAAATAACTTACTTTCATGAGATTTAAGTCCACATTTTCACATGGTTGCCCTTCTGATTTCTTGATAAACTAATCTCATTTTTCCTAAGTATTAAAAGGAGACGTGAATATAAAGGACCTCCGAAACGTCGGTAAACTTCTACTAGTTTACACGGCGCTACAATCCAGAAGACAGCTACCTTTTTAAAATACTAATTGTTGTTAATTATAATTTCGTTTAGAATTAAACTGGTACATGTATAATTCCTTCACTGTTTATAATAACACGAGATAAAATCTTTAAAACAATCTGAGCAATGCTAGAACTTTACCCAACTCTGTGTTCTCTTGTGTTACAGAAAGAATATGAGTCACCTGGAACTTTTCCAGATTAGGATTTCGCAGTACGAATTGTACAAAGAAGACGACACTCTGGTAGATCAGCTGCTCCACGACATGGCGACACAGCGCATCGTCCACATAAGTGAGTAAATAATCAGAAATAAGAGGGAAGTTTCTTCAAAATAAGGACCTGGTAGCTGAGATTTCATGTTCTTGTGTCGCGAAGTATGAAGATGGCTGCCCTATGGGTTTTTTGCGCCGTGTAATCTGGTATAAGTTAACCGACGTTTCAGATAGACTTGCTGCTTCCACCATCGTCATCACCTCTATCTACCGAAGACGTTATTCTGCTTCGAACGAGGGGCGTAGAGATCGAACGATGTCTAAGGAATACTCGAAAGTAACCCAGAAGACAGCCATCTTCATACGCGTCGCCCGAGAACCCAGAAGCTCGCTTAAATTAACTTGTCTGCATTTTGCTTCGAGCTCCTTGTACCGTGCACAGCGCCATGTTTGCTTCGTATGAAAAGAAGACATAACAAGTGGGGTCGAGTCCTTTCAAAAGGCAGCTGTTGTGTGACTCCACGAAGAAGTGAAATTGGTATTATGCACCACCCACCCCCCAGTCCTCAGCACATTTTCGATGCCATTGTTCGCACGTAAATAGTGTGGACAAACAGTTGCATGTAAGCCCATATAGAATGAGGTCAGACCTTTTCTTATTCTGCTCACCTTACAGACTATGTATTAGTACCGTTAACATTCAACACTTTAATTGAAAAACGCAAAGGGGACAATATTAAAATGGATCTGAACTAAATGGTATCTGTCCCATGGAGTCTGGGTGCAAACTAGATTTATCTAGCTCAGGATATGACTCACTAGCAGCCTTTTGTGAACACTCTGATGAACTGTCTGTTTCCACTATTAGTCGGGGAATTGATTGACCAGATGAGTGAATATCAGCTTCTTAACCGAGGGCTGTGCTTCATGGAGTTAGTGATAAGTATTTGATTCTACTCTAGTGGGGCAGTGGACCACAATCTGTTGATAAGAGTTTGTTTAATTTCTGTGAGGTTCGTTGGTTTGTTGAGGTTTTTAATAGCTGCTTTCGTTATTGGTTTCTCTAGATGTAATTTTAAGATACGAGAATTCCTGAGAATGAAGGTACGATAAAGACAGATTTTATTGAGTGCCTATAAATTACATTTATGACCTTTCATACGTAAAATAACAGTACTTAATGCAAAACAAAACTCAAATCTAGCAATTCGTTGTCTTATATGAATGTATTTAGACGTGTTAGAATCTGAAGTTGGAATGATACGTACACTTCAAGGTGTTTTTGCTACAGAGTATGAAATGTTTCTTATCTGAATTCCGTCTGTCATTTATCTTATTATTAGTCAATTAGAACATTAGTTAATGTACAGTCCACATTAAACCCTCTGAAGCCGAATCTCGCCTAAATAACATTTAAGAATTCAGTCCGTGCCGCAAAGAAAACACCTCATTTCACCATTACAAAAATCTTCTGGTTAAGAATATAATCTCTGTTTACAGTGACAATCATACTAAACATAAAATGAAGATCTGGTGATTTCTGAAGCAGCTGATAGGCATAAATATGGTTAACACTAGGCTTTAAACATTTAAGAAGAGACAGCCGTTGTCCCCCC